TGTCTGCAGCTCCTCCTCCAACGGAGCCCTTGGGAGACACAAGCAAGTACATGCGGAGAGGAGACACCTCGCTGGGATAGTTCATTTAATTGATCAGCCCTTTAATGTGATTTCCAGCTTCTGTTGGATCTACCAGCAAAACAAGTCGGGAAAAAAAATCAGCCAAACCAGTTTCCCCAGCAGCAGAGTCGGGGCTGGCTCTGAGGCTCAGCCAGTGTCTTGTTTTCATGTTGCTCCTCGGATATCTCGTGTCTTTAAACCACATTTAACAGCAAAATATATAAAAACAGGTCAAAAAAAACCCAACCCAAAGCTTCCTGCCTGGTGGGAATGGTGGGAATGTTGTTCTGGATGGTCCCTTGGAGCGCTTGGAGGGACCATGTCCACCTTCCCACCATCACAATGCCTCTGCTACCAGAGCACACAGGTGGCCAGAGCCTTCAGTGTCGTGTCAAGGGGCCCAAATTTTTAGGGGCTTTCCCTTCACTATGCCCTGAGTTGGGTATGGAAGCCCTGGACCACATGGAAGCAGCAGGAGAAAGGGCTATACATCCCATAGAATCCTGGAATATCCTGAGTTGGAAGGGACCCACAAGGATCATCCATCCAGCTCCTGGCCCTGCACAGACACCCCAACAATCTCACCTGTCCCTGACAACATTGTCCAAACATTCCTTGAGCTCTGGAAGGTTTGGGGCCATGACCATTCCCTGGGAAACCAGTCTGGGATTCTATGAAAGGGATAAATGGGAATTGTGTTCCTGAGGGGCGTAACCTTTTATTAAGCATCTCTATCAGAGGTAATAAGAGAAAAATTAATGCATCAGAGGGAGATCTTTCATTCCCCAGCTGGGCTGGGATCCAACAGGAACCCACAACAACCACAACTGGCTTTCCAATATGAGAAAACACACACAAAATATCTGTTATGGGACAAGCAGTAAACACAAAATCATGGGATGGTCTGGGTTGGAAGAGACCTTGAAGATCATCCAGTTCCAAACCCCTGCCATGAGCAGGGACACCTTCCACTAGAACAGGTTGCTCCAACCTGGCCTTGGACACTTCCAGGGATCCAGGGGCAGCCACAGCTTCTCTGCCCAACCTGGGCCAGGGCCTCCCCACCCTCCCAGCCAGGAATTCCTTCCCAATATCCCCTCTAACCCTGATCTTGTCTGTCTTAACCTCACTGCTGGGCTTTGAAGAGCTGATGTTGAAATTCAAACCCACCAAGTCACAGCTATAAAATAAACCAGGAAAATGATGGAGAGGAGTGGAATCTCCCTGTCCTCATCCCTTGCACAGCCACGTCCCTCCAGCCAGGTGGGTTCCCACCTGCCTTTCCCCTCGACGTTGAATTTTGCGCTTGCAGAGGAAATTCAACACATGGGATTTATGATTCCCTGGACAGAGGGAGAGAGAGGTCTGGAGCAAGGAGCTCTAATCCATCCCCTTACATTCCCTCACCAGAACCCAGAGTGAAATTCTTGGAGTGCTGGACACAGATTCCCCTTGGAAGGCGGCCACGAGCGCCGATCTGGCTGTGAGGGGAGATCAGAGTGGCTCTGCACTGCAGCAGCTCCACAGACAAACATCAAACCTTCCTCTTCCACTCCCTTGCTCACAACAAACCCATGGAAACGCAGAGCTAAAGCATTCCCAGCTGGCCAGAAGCTGGGGAGAAAACCGGGAACTGATTCCAAGAGCAGGCTCTGGGCTGATCCCAAAGCTCCTGGAGATCCTCAGAGGGATTTGGACATCCAGTGGTTGAAAGCAAGAGGCAGAAGACTCAGTTATTTCATATTTTAACAAGGTTGTTTGTGGGATTAGATTCAGTGCAGATTTCTAAAACACAGCACTGAGGGGGAAAGAACAAAGTTAAACTCGAGGGGGAAAACCATTGTTTCCTTGTAAAACCTTAAATATCCGAGTCTCACTCCTACAGAAGGATTTGAGATGCAACTTGGTTTATTTTAGCACTTCATTAGAGGTACTTGTGGATTTAGAATTGTCCCAGGATGGGAAAAAAAGTCCCTTTTTAAATTACTGTCTGCTCGGAAGAGTGATTTTGATCATCTGGGCTTGACTCTTTTCCTCTTCACCACATGGTGATGGATTTGCTCCCAATTTCCTCGAGCACAAGAGGAAAATCAGGCCTGAAATGTACTCAAGGAGGAGCTCTGATGCCCCAAGACAGCACCTTTTCAGTGTTTATTTCCCACTACAGGAATAGTGGGAAATAAATAATATCTGTACTCAAGACATAAACCGAGTCACCACATTTTCCTATCACTTCATATTTTACTGCACCAAGAATCAATTTTGGTCATTCCCCTAAACTTGACCATCCCACATTATTTTGAATTTTTTCTCTCATCTACAATTGCTCTGTAACAGCTACTACTGAACTATGTTGGGAAGGGAGGGGAAACCCCTTTAACCTCCCTATTTTGGTGCATTTTTGCCCAGTGAAAACAGCCAGAAGCACAAACAGTTCCAGGTGGTATCTTTTAAGTCAATATTGTGTTAACATTTCCCAGAATCACAGAGTGGTTTGGGTTGGAAGAGACCTTGAAGATCATCCAGTTCCAAACCCCTGCCATGAGCAGGGACACCTCCCACTAGAACAGGTTGCTCCAACCTGGCCTTGGACACTTCCAGGGATCCAGGGACAGCCACAGTTTCTCTGCCCAACCTGGGCCAGGGCCTCCCCACCTTCACATCTTCCCAAGACCTAATTTAAACCTGCCTTATTTCAGTTTAATTCGGTGGCTTAAAAGACAGAGAACACAATGTACAAACAGAACAAATTAAAACCAACTCAAAGAACAAAACAAAGACCCCTCCTTGCTGTGCCTTTATCCATTCACCTTCCCATCTGTGCCCTGCTCCCAGCTGGAACTGCAGTCCAGCAAGAAGCACCACGGTGGTGGGAGCACTGGAGCTCTGAAGGCCACAAAGAAGCCAACAGAGCTTCACATGGATGGAGTTGGGTGACCCACAGGCCACTGTCAGGACCAGGGGATCTCGGAAATATCTCACCTTTCCATGTTATTGCTAAACTTGATAAGGCAGTGATAGGTGGAATCCTCTCTGCTTGGAGCAGTGAGGTGTTGTCCACTATCTGTACAACACTGGGCAACAACAAGCATCCCTGTGATCCAGAAGACCCAGAACTGCCTGTCCTCACCTGACAGTCCACAGGCAAGAGCATCTTGCCTTTCTCCTCACAGTACTCACAGAACGGTTTGGGTTGGAAGGGATCTTTAAGATCATCCAGTTCCAACCTCCTGCCATGGGCAGGGACACCCTCCACCAGACCAGGCTGCTCTGAGTGCATCAAACCTGGCCTTGAAATTCAGATATACTTCTAAATACAATAAAAAAAGTTGGGATTCGCTTCCCAAACAAAGAGGGAAACCTCCATGTACAAAGAAGACCATTTGCCAGAGGAGCAGGCTCAGCCTTCTCCTCCCCCAAGGTGGATTCCCTTGGCTGAGCTCTGCACTTCTGAACCTCACACACATTTATTTCCCTGCCTAAGCACAGCTGAACCTCTCTGAGCACTTTGAAGGCCTTTCACTCTTCAAACAGCCACCGCTTTCCTCTTCAGAACCCCTGCATTCCCACCCTGGGGCTTGGAAGAGGCCCAAAGCCTCCACGTCTCCTCACACCCGGGAGGCCGCGGGCGCGTGGGGCTCCCCCCGGTCAACGAAGTGCCAAGAAGCTAATGAAGATAAAAGTGTCAAGGCAGGGCAGTGATAACACACACCTCTGCCACGGAGCTACTTTGACCGCTCCGCAAACAACTTTGGCAGCTCCTGGCAGGCCCGAGACCGAAAAGAGGCACCTCCACGTTATTAAAACGTCTCGCTGCTCTGCACAAGCGCCGCGCGATGACAAATTGCTGCCCGCGCATCAATTGGGTTTTCTGAGAAGTTCTCAAACCCTGACGGGTTAAAAAGCGGCTCCGAGCGTGAATCAGAGCCCCGGTGGTAGGAGATCATCGATACAAGGGATTATGCAGATTGAAGAAATACCCTCGGCACCCGAAAGTTTTCAGAATGCAAGCTACGTCAACCCTGAAAACAAGAGGCACTGCATCATGATGGCAGGAGGGACAAAGCCAGGGGGGTTTAACAGACAAAAAAAGATTGTTTTAATAGGAGAGAAGCATCAGTCATTGAGTCTTACTTCATTCAGACTTTCTATCCAACCCATCCATCTTCGGTGCCAAGAGATGACAGGACCACCTCACTTTTCCCCCCGGCCTAGTGTATCAATAATGCCCATTTCTACCCCAAACAAATGACTCCCCAGAACGGCCCTTTTCCCGAAACTGGCTTGCCAAGCCCCACAGACGCCTCACTACCTGCTATGGTCAACTTGGCTCTAACGGGGGCCCCTCCAGAGGTGGCCACCGATGGGTGGAGCCTTCCCCAGTCACCTTCCCCAAGAGCCACTTTGTCATTCGTGGCTGGGGAAGAGGGGACCGAGGAGGGGGGGGGTGGCTGAGCCAGAGAGGGCCACAACCTCCGAAGGGGCACGGACACAGGGGAATGCAAATCCCCCCTGCCCTCCCAAACGCCTCTGGGGGCATTATCTGGGAACAAAAGTCCCCAAGGCGGGCGGGCTCTGCATCACTGCTCTCTCTGTTCCACCACCTGCTCGGCGTCCGCCCGGGGAGCCGCCGCGTTCCCTCCGCGTCGCGGCCGCAGAAGCCAACGGGAGCACAATGGGTCCCACCAGCCCAGGGTCAGGCCTGGTTTTCTTCCTCACCCTCATCCCACCAGCCCTTTTCACCTCTACCACCTCCAGGAGCCGCAGAGCGCTCAATAAGGAGGTGGCTTCGAGAGAGGAGAGGAGGGGGGGGGGGAAATATAGGTCTCTGGCGTAAATCACTGACGCCGTTTCCCCTCCTCTCCCCTTCCCTTAAGACCTGATGGTCTTCAGTCACACATCTTAAAAGAAAAACAAAAAACAAAACCACAAAGACTTACTTGTCTCAAGTCGATGAAGGCCAACTGCAGCGTGTCCCCTTGGAACCCAGGCACTGGGCCGGATCTGGCAAACTCTGTGGGAAAGAAAAGAGGATAAAAAGCGCCTTTAACTAACCATGGACAGGGAGATTGGCAGACGGATGACAGGGAAGACAAGAGAGGCTGGGGGAGAGGAGGACCGCGCTTCTAAGGAGTCATGTCTCCCTCCCTTCAGCGTCTTTGTTCGCCCTTCAAAATTCGTGTCATCAAAACACCATTAATTCCACCGTCCTGACAGCAAGGAAACTGTACTAATTCGACCTGAAATTTATTCCCATGAGCCGCACTGGGCTCCAGAGTATTTGTTTTGTGAACGGACAAACAACTCGCCCAGAAGAAAGAGGGGAGGACGGGGGGGGTGGAAAAAGTTTTTCCTCTCGACACAATAAAATCTTCAGCTGTGAAAACTCCTTTTCAGTTCCGAAAGCTATTTATATTTTAGGGCGCTGAAGGAATTTTCTAATTTCACGCCTGTCACCAGGCCCCACGAGCATTCATCAAAAAAATATGCCCGGCAGCACCATTAATTATTGGGCAGCGGATCATTTGCATGATCTGGTGGCGGCGCGCTCTCGGGAAGAACCGTTGGGTGGCATGTTGATTCCTGGTGGATGAAGACATCTGACAACACAATAACGTCGGCTTCCGAGGCGAAGAGAATATTCCCAAGGGCCACGTTTATCTCCCTCCCCGGTGTAACCTGGCCAAAATTTCATACTCTGGTCATTCATTTTTTTCTTCTAATCCATCCTTTAAGCCAAACCTAAACCCACTTGAATGAAGCCGTGTCAGAGGACTTTAGTCCTTCCATGGCTCTTAGCGGCTTTTGCTCGGCCAACGGCCACACGTATCCGAGGGCGCCTTTTGACGACACGCCCGAGGTTGGTTTTGCCCGACTTCACTTTGTTTTCACCCTTTCTGGTTACAGCTTTATCTCCTCTCTGCTCCTTTCAGCACCCAAGGGGCATTGTTTGTGAAGCCACAACTCGACGTCGCCAAAGACTCGAGAGGGAGAGTCTGCCCTTGGCCGTGGAGACGTTGCACATGGAATGAAATGTTTTCTCAGGATGAAACCGAGCGACAAGGAAGAAGGGAGAGGAAAATATACACCAGCACATAGATTTTACACTTATATGGCCCATTATTGCCCAACTATCTTGTTTTTTACTCGACAGAGATACTCAGAACAGCTCCTAAAGCTCCACAAATATGAGGGTTAAGGATGGCTCAACAACAAGGAAGGAGGATTTGCCTTTTGTCTCTGAGGTTAATCAGAGGGACTAATGGACAAAGTCACTTCGTGCCAGATGGTCTTCTCCTTGAACGCTTCTCCTTCCAAAACCTATCAAGCAAATACCACAGAAGAAGGAAAATAAATCATCACGTTCCTATTTTGAAATACTTCCTAGAGCAGCCCCATCCCAGGAGCAGCCTCATGGTTCTAATGAGAAGATTAATGAATTAGACACCAAGATTCAGCTCTGTTCCCGAACTGCCTTATTGCTGGGAAGCAAAGAAGAGTTATTTGTCAAATTTCTTGCTCCACCTTCCATTAAAACCTTGGGATGGAGAACATCCTTCAACACAGACACAGGTACCTCCAGGGGCACTGTGGCCACTTGTCAGACACCCACAGCTCTGCTTTTTAATAGTCTCAGATGCCAGAAGAGCTTTGAGATTGGAGCCATCGCTCATCTTCGCGGTGATCAGTCAAGTGAGAACTGCTGCAGGACAGCAGCAAACACGCCTGGAAAACCAGCACTTTTATCCCACCTTGCTACTCAAGAGGAATAATGAAAAAATGCAAGGAGAAATTAGGGATGTGATCACTCCCATTTAGGTTTTGGATAGGAAAAACACAAATCAGAGCCAGGAGGAACCATCCGTGGTTGTCCCTACAGAGTTTTTCATGGGATAGGACCGGACAGAGATTATTGGGAAGGAATTGTTGGTTGGGAGGGTGGGGAGGTCCTGGTCCAGGCTGCCCAGAGAAGCTGTGGCTGCCTCTGGATCCCTGGAAGTGTCCAAGGCCAGGTTGGAAGGGGCTTGGAGCAAGCTGGGATAATGGAAGGTGTCCCTGCCCATGGCAAGGGGTTGGAATGAGATGAGCTTTCAGGTCCCTTCCAACCCAACTCATTCCATGATTCCATGAGATGGGAGCTGTTCAGCTTCCAGCCAGTTTCACTGCCCAGTCCTGCAATATTCAGGACGCAGGGACTTTACATTTACCCCTCAGAAAACTGGTTTAATTAATTCTAACTGTAAAGGCATTTTAATGTATGTTGGCTGTAAAATTTGCCTGCAGCTTGCCCGAGCCAGCACACACACAAGGGAGGACTAACCCAAGCCTTCTGCCTCTGATCTGCAAGGGATAAATCATCCTCACACATTCCCTCTGCACCCCACTGTCTCATCTGGAAAAATTATCCCCAAAGCCACATCAATCCTAAACCAGCCCCACTTTGGAAAAGCACATACCTGAGAAGCTAAAAATATTTAGATGTGAGAAACAGTGTTGGAGCACCTTCCCAAGGGACCAAACTCCCCTGGGTGGTTCAGACATCCCTGGGTTGAGGTATCCAGTCCCAATGTCCCACCATCCAAGGACAGGGTCACATCATGTTCCTGATTATATCTGGAGGAACACTGGGAAGTAAACCCTGAAAGGGCCGCGATGAAAGCGGGTTTCTATTTTGGATGAAGGGTTTTGCAGCTGGTAGGAATCGAGTGAAGAGGCACACAGGGAGTTGTGAAATTTAAGATCCTCCCAAAAGCATGAACGTCAAACCCTCATGAGAAAGCGGCTGTGACTGGGGATGTTTTTACAACACCCGTGAATTTGTCACTGTTGTCATCTGCTCATGAGCAACCCAAGAGAGATTCCAGCCCAAGATGTGGTTGCTCGTCAGCAGCTCACCTTTAGCTGTCTCTTCCCATTGTCTCTTCTCATTGTTCCCAGTTGTGGCTTCCCCATTCCTGGGGCAGGTTGGATGGGGATTGGAGCAACCTGGGCTACTGGAAGGTGTCCCTGCCCCTGGTAGGGGGTTGGAATCTTTAAGGTCCCTTCCAATCAAAACCATTCTGTGATTCTGTGATTCTTCAGGAATCATACGGGAGGAAGGTTGGGAGAGCTGTGGAGTGACCACAGCACATCATGATGGTCCCACATGGAATCAACACTTGTTTGAAGAGCAATTCTCACTAAAAGAAGAGTCTCTACTGATTTAAAAATGCACTGGAACCTTCTAGTGGGAGATGTCCCTGCCCATGGCAGGGGGTTGGAATTGGATGATCTTTAAGGTCCCTTCCAACCCAAACCATTCCATGATTCCATGACTGACATCCAAGCAGCGCAATGAGTTGATATGATTTGTGTTAGAAGAGAAATGAGGTGGAGAACATGGCCCAGACACTCCAAGAAAGCCGCTCCAGCCCTTGGCCGGGAGGAGCCCGGGGAGGAATGAATGCAACGCTTCACCCCACGGCCGTACTCCTGTGATCGTAGGTCACACTTTACATACCAATGCCACCAACTTAGTCTGAAGGAAGAATGAACAAAGTCTTAAAGGGGGGGGAAAAAAAAAAAAGAAGAAACAAAGAAGAGAACGGAGCTTTAGAGGAGAGACACAGCCAGTTCTTCTTGGTTTTAATCTCTTCAACCAGATTTCAGGATAATTTTCTCGGAACAACCAAAGCACAGTGTTGGCCTCAGTACTGTCGGATTCGTTTATTGTTCTGTCTTCACTACCAAGGCAAGTGGCAAACATAGCAAGCAACCCACAGTACAGCCCCTTGAGCAGAAAATCACAGGAGAATAGAGCAGATCAGTATGCGGCTGTTTGTACAAAGCATTTAGCCAGGCTAAAGGTTTGAGGGGTTTGTGTTCAGGCCAAAAAAGTAATGTCTTTGCAAGGGCTACAGGCTTGGGCCACCCAGGGCAGGTCACAGGGGGACTCTAACCTCTCTTCCAAAACATTTCACTGATGAAAGAATCAAGGCACAGGAACCGTTAAGCCCTTTACAATGGACAAAGAATAAAGAGTTCAAACGCCCACCAGAAAAGAGACATCCACTGTAAAGGAACGATGGCGGGCGGGGGGACCTCCTGTGTGCCCCCAGCGCGCGGGGACGGGGCCTGGCACGTCCTGGCACTTCAAAGGGGCACAGCTGGTGGCTTCGTTCCTCAAAAACATCATTTCAGGGGAAGATTTACACAATGCCATCAGAATTCCCGATGGCAGAGTTGCGGCATCAAAGTTCCAGCAGCTCCTGTGGAAGGGAACCTGGACAATCTGCTGGTGGTCGGACAAGTTTTGGGGGAAAAACCATCGCAGTGTTCCTCAAAAAAGGATGTAGGTCTCAAAGTCATCTTATCTTCCTCAGATAAACCCTTGGAAGACTATCCTAGAAAAGCCAAGCGATGGGACGTCTTGTTCCTCATCCAGAGGGACAAAGTGACACCCTGAGGATACTGAAGCTGAAGAATAAATCTCTGTGTGGACTGTGGAGAAGTTTGTGAGGAAAAGAGGTGGGAGATGATGGGTAGGAACTGAGGCAAGAGGGAACAGAGAGAAGGTCCCAGTTTCCCCACTGAGCTTCTACTTCACCCAGTTTCCACACCGAGCTTATCTTTCACCCACATCATTCCCACACAACCCCACTTTGAAGCTGTTCCCCATCACAGACCGAATTACCAAAGCTCATTCCCATCTGGGTAATTCCAGAGAGCTGTGGGAAGAGGGAGGAGTCACCCAAAATACCCTGAACTGGGTCAGATTAAAGAAAAATTTCTATCCCTTTCCACCATTTGTTTCCATGATGGAACAAAGCTGAGCCCAGAGAGCTGTCCCTGCAGAGAAAAGAGTGCTCCCAGGGGCTGTGATGAGCTGCTGGCAGGGCTGAAGAGCACCCACAGCCCCAGGGAGGAACTTCTCCATAGTGGACCATGAGATGTTTCCAAGTAGAAGAAAAAGAAACTCTTCAGAAGGAACTGTGCCATGAAATCTGGCACATGATCCATAGGAGAGGCTTAAGA